TGACTCCTTAAAGCACACTTTTCACGAATGAAATAATATTTGAAATACTTTTCTGAGATTCTGAACTATATAGTTGCGTTTTTACCAAAAACGGTTGAAATTATTATGTTTAAACCGAAATACCAATAATACACAAAAATTATGTTTACGTTTTATTTTCTAACCAAGTTCAGTATAAATGTTCATCAAAAAGAGATTCGTTCGCCTTATTCCATCATCAGGAATTATCCAAAGGGCGCCCGTTGTATCAAAATGTTAAATAATAAATAAAAGAAAATTTATTATATAGAGTAATCTATCATTTTGCCAATTTTAATGGTATTTTATAAATATGCAATGATATTATTAGAAAAAGGCGAAAAAATTCAACTTTAACAAATTATCTTCGTCGGCAGGAAGATTTTATTAATATATAATGTGGTCCAACAACCATATTAGTCACTTCAGGAAAATCCAAATCTAATCATTCTTCCCACCGATAAAGGCAATGCCACCGTCATTCTAAACACATCTTACATTAATAAACTCTTAAATCTCATTATTACTCCATACTACAGACCAATTCCTTATCAATAATACCTCTCTTCCTGTTGACATAAAACAATCTCTAATTCCTCATGAAAAGTATCCCAGAACACCTCAAATATTATCGCCTACCCAAAATTCACAAATCCGATATTCCTCTACGTCCCATTGTCAGTGCATACAACTGTCCTAGACAAGCATTGGCCAAGTTCTTGGGGAAAACTCTACCAACTCTCGCCGAAAATCTTCATCCTTAGTCAAAAATTCTTTTCATTTTATTGTAATTTTCGATATCGTTTCACTCTTTACAAACATTCCTATCAAGTAAACTCTAAACATTCTGAAAACTAAATACAGTATTTAGTTTATTTTATGAAATAAACGCACAAATTCAAATATTGACGACAAACATTGACGAAGATCTAACATCAACATGGAATACGATTACAAGTGCTGTAACAGACATCATGAAAAACAACTTAGGGTACAAACAAAATAACAAGAGGCAAAAATGGATGACAGAAGAAATACTATTACTAATGGAAGAACGACGAAGACACAAGAATAACCAAGATGGCAGCAATATGTATGAAAACATTAACAGGCAAATAAAAGCAAAAATAAGAATAGCAAAAAATGAATGACTTAGTGTACACCTACGTGTACACCTACATTGGAACCGTATTTCTCCCGATCCGACATCGGGCGACGTCGGCCGACGTCGGATTGAAAACAAACTCAAGTTATTAAATCATAGTGCCTATACTGCTTCCATGACGAAGCAGTGTAGGCACTATCATTTAATACCTTGAGTTTGTTTTCAATCCGACGTCGGCCGACGTCGCCCGATATCGGATCGGGAGAAATACGGTTCCAGTGTAGGCGTACACTTAAGCAACAATGTATCGATCTAAAACATTTACAACGACAGCACGACGACCGTAATTTACATAAATAGCTTAAGGAGACTGCTAGAATATACAGAAAACGAAGACCAACTACCATAGTTAATCAGGATAACCAGATAGTGCTGGATGAAAAGGAGAAAATTGATATATGGGAAAATTATATCCAGGAGCTCTTCCATGACGAAAGACCCATGAGTGAAGTTTATACAGACGACCAGCTGACTGGTCCTTAATCACCAGAGAGGAGATAGAAAAGGCAATATTAAATTCAAAAAACAATAAGGCACGTGGACCAGATGAAATCCCGTCAGAAATACTCAAATTACTGGATGAAAGGGGAATTTCAGCACTACACAAAATATTTAACTTAATTTATGAAACTGGCTGCTATCCTCAACAGTGGTTACGCTCTACCTTTATTCCCCTGACCAAGAAAGTCAATGCAAAAAGATGTGGGGATCACAGACTCATTAGCCTGATGAGTCACACTTTAAAGATATTCTTAAAAATACTACATCAAAGATTATACAAAAAATGTGAATGGGGCATCATTGACTCCCAGTTCGGGTTTAGGCAAGGTTTAGGAACACGAGAAGCAATAGCAGCAACACAGGTGCTGGTCCAAAATTGTTACGATCAGAAGAAGGATGTGTTCCTATGCTTTTTGGATTACCAAAAAGCGTTTGATCGTGTCCAACACCACAAGTTAATGCAGACCATCAAGAAAGTTGATATAGACCAAAAAGACATAAGATGCATTGAAAACTTGTACTGGCATCAAAAGGCACAGTTAAAAATAGACAATTCTATATCCAAACCTATACATATAAGAAGGGGCGTTCGACAGGGATGTGTGCTTTCCCCTCTTTTATTTAACATTAATTCGGAAGCCATATTTCAAGAGTCTTTGGAGGATGCAAAGATGGGAATCAAAGTGAATGGAGGTATCGATCAACAACATACGATATGCTGATGATGGTGTCTTAATTTGTGACAACATAGTCGATCTTCAACAACTTGTCACTATAATCGGAGAATACAGTAAGCGAATGGGATTAGAGATTAATACCAAAAAAACCAAATTTATGATCATCTCCAGAAACTTGGATGCACTTGAAAACTCCACCATAACACTGAATGATTCATAACAATGAATACTAAGTCCATTGAAAGAGTGAGTAAATTTAAATACCTGGGATCGTGGCTTTTTGAAGACTGGGCATCGGACAGGGAAGTAAAATGTCGAATTGAGCAAGCTCGATAAGCTTTAGTAAAATTCAAGAAGGTACTGACCTGTTCAGAGTTCGATCTTCAACTGAGACTAAGGTTTACTAAGTGCTACGTGTGGTCAGTGCTGCTATATGGCGTAGAGGGTTGGACACTCAAAACGAGGGATATAAACAGATTAGAAGCTTTCGAAATGTGGCTCTATCGCCGTATCCTAAAAATACCATGGACAGCGAAAATCACAAATATAGATGTCCTTAAACGAATAAACCAAGAACGCCAACTTTTCGAAACCATCAAGAAAAGGAAAACGGCGTATCTAGGTCACATCATGCGAAATGAAAAATACCAGTTCCTCCAACTTATAATCGGGGGTAAAATTGAAGGCAAGAGAAGAATGGGACGCAAGAAAATGTCCTGGCTCCGAAACATAAGGCAATTAACGACATACAATCTCTGATACATACTGCAAGAAATAGAGAATTAATGGAAAATGTGATGGCTAACATCCATTAGTGGATTTGCATCTGAAGAAGAAGAAATACAGTATTAAGCAGGACCACTTATCTCTCATTAAATATTGTATGTCCAACATTTATTTTATCTTCCAAAATCAACTCTACAGACAAATAAATGGTGCTCCCCACCATCCTCTAGTAATTGCCAATATCTTTATTAAAGCTTATATAGCTTAATTTTGTTTAAATCTCTTACAAACAAATTAATTTGCAACTTTCTACTGAAAGTTGCGAATTGAAAGTAATGAAACTTTCTAATTGAAAAAAAAAATTAAATTTTTAATTGTTATATCTTTTTTTATTAATAAAGATAAAGTAATTTTGCAAGTTTTTTTAAAGCTGAAACAACTACCTTTAAAATGAGGCGGTTTTGAAAGTTAATTGCACGTATGAAACTTGAGTTATGCCCCATCTAATGACTATTTTGCAAATGTTTTTCACGAAATTTGTTATAACTCCAATTCTAACAATCGGATCCAAAGTTAACCAAACGTTTATTTATTATTAGGATATTTTGATCCAAATATCCTGGTCTATGTCTTAATAGTTATTAGTCATCTTGTGTTTTGTATAATAATTTGTTTTTTAAAATGGTCACAACTGTCAACGACTACAAATCTACTGAGTTAGGTCTAACAATTCCTTCCAAAAACCGTAGTTGTAAACAAATATTTCATATTACTTACAATTAAATAATTTGGGCTATTCACAATATACTCCTATCTGGCACACAACAAAAATTTTAACTAAACAACCATTAACACTTTGATATGTATAAATTAAACCTACGACTAATATTCTCACACAAGAAACTGATTCATTTTATGCCAAAAACTAGGTACTTATTTATGCTGAATTTTTGTAGTATAAAGAAATATTGTAGACAGTTTTATAGAGGTTAAAAAATTTAGTGTACCTTTAATAGATATACACTGAGAAATCAGACTAATATACTGACATATAAACTCGAACACCCATTATAATTTATTATATTTTGGAAATATTTTGTGCAAGGTAGATAAATAAACAAATGATCAACATTTCAATATAATTGAAACAACTTACAGGGGTAAATCGAATAATAATGTATTGATGCACCTCGGTTGGCAACACACTGTTGGATGCGCCGGGGTTCGCTTCTTAATAGGTGGTCAATATCCTCCTGGAGTTTCTTGTTCCATGTCCTAATTAACTCCTCCTCCTAAAGTGTTTGCAAAGTTTGAGGAGGATGGTCTAAATTAAGAAGACTCCTACCCATCATGTCAAAAAGGTGAATACTTGAGAATAACTCTGGGTATCTCGGGGGCCAGAACATAAGATTGTCTCCAGTCTGTTTAAAGAAGTCAATGCAGTGGTGTCGCCATACGACGGGTGAGGGGGGGATTCTCCCTCCCCCCCCCCCAATAAAGATTCAGTTGGAAAATTTATTAAGAAAATTATAAATCCCGACTCCGACTGGAAAAGAAATAAAATTTAAAAAAATAAAGTTAAAAAATAAAGTTCGGGTTGCGCTAAATCAGCATTTCTTTAAATTCGTTTTCTATGTGGCAATGCCGCGCCGCCGCAACCGGCAACGCGTCATAAGAGAAATACATTAATCGAACAAGAGAAAATCCATAGTCAAAATAAGAGAGTTTTATGGGTTTTAATGGATACAATCAGATGAATCAGAACATTAGGCATTCTAGGATTGGGTTTTCGAAAATCTGATTCGGCTTCCGAAGGAAATTTTGGACAAATTGTAAACCTTATATCAAGACATAACAGTGTCGTGAAATAATGGTTTGACGACAGAAAATTGCGCCCTTATCATGTGACATACATGAGTGGTGAATCTCAAAATGAAATGATCTCTTTAATTGGATCAGAGGTACGTAGTTTGATAATTGAAGAAATTAAAGAATGTTTATTTTTTTCGATAATGGCTGATACGACACCTGATTTATCTCATAAGGATATACTCTCCCTGGTAATACGTTATGCCGACAATAAGGGTAATATTCACGAAAGGCTTATTAAGACCGTTGAATTTTGCCATAAATCCGGACTGGGTATGGCCGAGTTGTTAATTAAATGCCTAAGTGAGTTGGAAATAGATAGTTCTAAACTTGCTTTTCAATCATATGATTTTGCTAGTAACATGTCCGGTCGTTTTAATGGCGTACAAAAAAAAATTACAGATATCGTCGAGCACAATGTACCTTACATTCCCTGTCAAGATCACAGGACTAATACAGTGCTTGAACATGCTTGTAACGTAAGTGCATTGATTAGAAACTTTTTTGACACTCTTGAAGAACTTTACGTATTTTTTACATCAAGCACAAAAAGATTTAAACACCTGCAAGAAAAAATACAAGAAATAGATAAATCAGTTCAACTTAAAAACCTTTCAAGAACCAGATGGACTGCAAAGGCAGACTCAGTCAGAGCTCTTAACCAAACAGTAGATCAAATTATTGAAGTTCTATCAGACATTTCCAAAAATAGAGAATTTGATGGTTCTACAAGAACTAAAGCATTGGGACTTTACAAAAAGATTTTAAATTTTGACTTCATAGCTAGCTTCTTTTTTCTAAAAAATATTTTACCAAAAATTAAAATTTTAACTGAAACGATAGAAACACCTAATTTAAATATAATAGACTGCATTAATTTGATAAAAACTACTGCCCTTAATTTAAGAAATACCGATTATAACCATAACAGTTTAAATAGTCTAATTGAAAGTGCCATAAAATATGCCGAAAAATTAAATATTGATCCTTATTCTGATTTTTCGAAATATCATAGACGAAGGATTATGCCAAAAAAAATTGATGAAAATCGTGACACTGAAGTCGATATGGATTTAAAAACTTTTTATAGGCGAGATTTCCAGGAAATTTTGGATACCTTATCAAGTGGTTTAAATGATAATTTTGAGCATATCAAAAAATCAATTGAGCCACTGTATTCAGTTTTAACATTTCCACTTGATAAAAGAAATATTACCTTAAAGATTTTAGGTGACATTGTTGCCATGTTTCCTCCAGGTTCTAAAAAGCCTGATGTCCATTCTTTACAAGGTGAATTAGAAGTTTTATTTGATATGAACTCTGAAGTAAGTTCTTTTCCTGAACTATTATCTAAAGTAACCAAGTTAAAAGATAATTTAAATCAAGCATTTTGCTTTTGTATGTTTGTATTGACTGTACCCTATGGTGTTTCAACCAACGAAAGGAGCTTTAGTCAATTAAAAATTATTAAAAATGTGTTAAGAACAACAATGTCTAATGAACGGCTTGATAATTTAATGCTATTAAAGTGTGAATCTGACATGGCGTTAAAATTAGATTTAGGTTACACAATTGATAAGTGGGCAACTCTAAAGAAAAGGCGAATAATTTTAAAATAACATTTTAGGGCTTAAATAAAATGGAAGAATACGTAATATCGTCCTTTTTTGTAAATAGTCTTTCAGGTAACAGGATTGGGACAAAAAATCTCCAGAGTTTTTCTTTTTTATTTTTTTTTAAACTGCCGACGTTTCGACTTTATTTAAAATTTGTAGTATTTTTCTTTGTCCTAATCCTGTTAATCTAAACAACTACTTATGTAAATATAATCCGTATGAAATAAGGTAATGTTATAAAAACGCTGTGTATTTATTTTATGTTTTGATTATAGTAAAGTTATTACTTACATAAAATATGTTTATTATTATAATAACTAATTATTCTGAATTTTGGAAAAAGGTGTACCTATGTAAATAAAATAAAGTATGAGAGTTGGGAATATTTTTCATTCTCTTCCCCCCCCCCCCCCCCAAAAGAGCTCTCGCGACACCACTGAGTCAATGGTGATTATAGTCACTGAGTCAATAGGATATTATGAGATGAAGTTTCAGAATTTCTTCTACGTGTTGTTGAACTGACATGGTCCCTCTGACCAAAATAGGAGGTGACTTTTAATCATAAACGATAGCACCCCACAGGATAACCCCACAGTACGGTGCACATGCTAAAACTGTTTATCTTTAGGGCCCATTTTTAAAGGAATCGTTTTTATTTATTCTTCTCTAAACATGAACTCTTAATCCTTCAAACGATTCTTTTTAAATTGTTTTTGTTATATTAACAAAGCAGTGTTGAATTTTTGAAAAAATAGGGCTAACTCGGATTTTAAGGGTAGTAGGACATTTTTTTAATTCGTGTAAAAATGCCAACATGCCGAATAAAAAATTAACTTCCTCCATATTGCGTCTAAGTTGGATGCGTGAGCATCATACACAGTACTCGCAATTATAAGAAATCGAATCATCAGACCCTACTTTATCGAAAGTAAATAAAACGGGGCAACGTACCTTGAGTTTTTAAGGGGGTATCTCGTACCTACTTTACGTAATTTCCAGCAGACGTAATCCTGGAGGTTTTGATTTTATAGTTTATGTTTGCAACAGGATGGTGCACCTCCACATTATGCTGTAGATGTTAGAAGGTACCTAGATGAAATTTTTCCGAACAGGTGGATTGGTAGACGTGAACCTATTGAATGGCCAGCGAGGTCACCAGATTTCAATCCTTTGGATTATTTTATGTGGGGCCATCTGAAGAATGTTGTGTATCAAACGAAACCAGCAAATATTTAAGAATTACATCAGAGAATTCTACAATACAGCAATAAAGACAGAATACATCAATAAACAATATTTCTCAAGACACAATAAACAAGGTCAACAAGAATTTGTACAACGTTTGGGTTACTGTCAAATACAGCAAGGGCTGCAGTTCGAATAATTATAAAGTCATTTCATCAAAGTATTTCATCATATTCTGTCCGCTAGAAAATAAGCATTTTTGATAATATTGTTAATTTGACCAACGCGTTACTTTATGAACACACACAAAACTATTGTATTTTTGTCCACTCTGTACCAATTTGAATCAACACGTGATACATTTTTACAATTATAAAGTCCTGTATTTCATCATATTCTGTCCGCTAGAAAATAAGTATTTTTGATAATATTGTTAATTTAACTAACGCGTTACTTTATGAACACACACAAAACAACACGTGATACATTTTTGAAATTAGCTCGGTTAGAGTAATCCGAAAATTGAGATAATATGGAAGTGTTCCATTTAAAAAAATGACGGTGACGTCATTACTCGAAAGTAATTCACCCTGTATAATAAGAATATTATTTTAAAATACGGTAAATTAAAATCAAAAATCAACGTGTTTCAGGATTATTTCTTAAAATGCTCTGTTTAGCTAAAAAAGAATTTGTTCCATACTTTACGGACACAGTGTATGTAACGATAAACCAAATACGAATGTCGTAGTTAAAAAATATCAACAAAAATTGTTAAGTAAATAAGAACAAAAAATATTTAGAAATTTGTAAACACCTATTAGCAATTGTCTATTATTTACGTATATTATTAAGTACTCCCCAGAGATTATTTGTAAAATTTTCGAGCATTCTGATAAATAATAAATATCCCATCAATTGTGTACTAAGTGTCTATTTACAAAGTACACAGATGCTAAATAAATTTGTTTACGTTTTATGGCACGACAATTATTTAAGAAAGTGATTAATGCTGATAACAAAACTGCTACCTATCTCTTGTTTTGACAAGTATTGGGCTATAGATTAGTTGAAATAAGGCGTACCATATGTCAAAAACTAGAAAGCAAACTTCAAACGTGATTCATGTTGTTAGAGATTTCAGCAAGCAGATAAAAACATCAGAACTTATGATTGTCTTTACTTATAGGAAAATCCAAACCGGAACAATATGGAGGAATTTTGATTTTTTGACGCCTGAACACGACTTTCGTTACCACTTCCTGACTTAGACAAAACATTAGTTTTTATACTTTCTAACAGTGACTGTTTTACGAAGTATATTAAAAAAGAAAGTTGGGGAATTTTAACGACTTGTAGGTAAACCAAACATTCAAGAGAAATAAGCACTCAGAAAAATTCATATTGTGCACGAATAATTAATTGTATATTTTCCTAAATTAATGTAAAATACATTATCACCGTATTTTTGCATGTCTTCGACAGTACTTCAGAGAGAATTTGGTATTAACTTTTACATCACAGCGGACCTTATTCGACCGTTTAAGTCCAAGCTTTCATCCCTTCTACAAAATAGTAATAAATTCGTGAAAAATACTTTTATGTCTGCATTATATTCCAAATAGAATAATCATCAATCAGGAAAATTGTCATAAAACCAACGTATTTCGAGCTGTGAGGTTTTTTTCCTGTTGTATCCTGTGAGATTTGAAAGTGGCAAATAAACATATTTTGGTTTAGGATATTATTCCTATTTCATATGAGTACATTTATTTCTGTTTATTTTGCAATATGCCATTTTTCCTCTTAGGCTCTGAACTAATTTACAGCTCTGGCAGGAGTATCGTACATAAAAATATTATTATGTTTAATGTGATAGTGATAAAGCACTATAATATAGATATTCTTGTCCCCATTTTGTTGGATGAGGAAAGAGCGTTTTTTAAAGAAGTATGACCTAGTATTTTGTAATTATAAGTTATTATCATTGGCAACATATTATAGATGTATTCTTCTAATCTTAAATGTATGTAAAAATGTAAGTTTGATTAACTGGGTTATGAAAGTAGTGATCCTTCAATGGAATCTTAGACTATAACATTTATCGCTTAAAATCAATAATTCTTTAGACAATTTTGTATATACCTACCCGTATATGTATATTAAAAATTATTGGTTTTAATTGTACAGGTTTCTATTCTGCTGTATAGTTTTAAAATTGACCATACATGCGTCTGTAGTTATTAACAGAGTTGTTTCCTATCCGCTAATGGTGCATTTAGCCCAGTCAACTAAGTCTCTAGCGAAATGATTGAAAGATTGGCATTCATTCAGTGATTAGTCTACGAAGTGTTAGTGCTACGCTGCTATCCTTTTAAAACTAGCCCAAAACTTTTTATTAAGTAGATAATGTAGCTCAAAGATATGAAGGTGACATATTCTTCTTCAATAGATGTTTTTCCTCGTTAATAAGCAAATCGTCACATACCGCGCAATAAATTACTATTTTTGTTGTACTCGAACGAGGCGACAAGTGTAAAAAAACAATCCATCATCCGTTTCAGCTATGTTGATATTTAGAACGCCACAAACATCTTTATCATCTAAAACGAAAAGGAGGTAAAAGTATCTCTGTTCTGCCATTATCCGTCCTGTAAGTCTCTCTGTCAATTATCTGGTCTATTTAATTTCTCCAAGACCACTATGCCTTTTTTTCTCCACCCAATGGGACTCCAATCCTTTATTTTCGATATCCACGTATTTCTATCTGTTCTTAGGACGTGCCCATACTAATTTATTCTTTTTTCTTCTATATAATCTGGCACATTCTTAGTTCCCCCCATTTTCCTTTTAATTTCCTCCTTTCCTTCTTCGGTTGTTCCATTGTTTCAAAATATAAATCGTATTTAAGCTTGTTTGCGTCTTTCCTGGTTTCATGAAAATTTCTAGACTATTTTTCGAGTACTTTTTTTCCAATTATCTCTCAACAAAACTTAACTTATCCCCATCTTCTGTCATGACCACCTGATCGTCTGCAAAGTTTAATGTGTATAAGTTTCATGTCTTGGAGGGCTAGAGGAGCAACTAGCAAAAAAACTTCTTTTACTGCTAAGCATTTAGTCACTGATAATAAGGTAAAATCTATAAGAAAAGTGATACAAAAGTCAAAGACAGATAAAACTAGCAAACACAACATAAGTTAAAACGCAATCACCATCTGCTGCTACAATCATGGTACAATGAATACAAGGTATGATACATAATGTTCCAAAATCGGTTCGCTTTCGCGCATGACGTAGTCAAAACCGCTTATTCCCGCAACATTTGAACAAAGTTGTATAGTAAAGACTTTTAATTTTAAGTTTTTTTTTATATAATTTGACCAATTTAATTATAGTAATTATAAAGACATGATAAAATTATGTTATTATAATATTTAATCATAAATAAGTAGTGAATTGATGCCAGCTACCATGCATGCAGATGGTTGTGGTGCATCTGATGTGAGATTTATTTATTTTCTTAGAAAGATAGGTAAGTAATATCCTTTTAGAATAATGTAAAACATTATACCTACTGAAAAGAAAAGTATGCTTTTCCGTTCTAGGCAAAAAATTGATTGCTTCATGCATTGATATTTTTTATTTTTCATGACTAATAATTAATAAAAATAAAGATTTAGACTTACGTCGTTGACTTAGAAGTAATAAGAAGCTGCCCAACATACTTTTTGGATTCTCTGTGTTTGGCTCTTTGTACGCGTTTTTCTTTTGGTTGGTTGAAAGGGTAGCTGATTTTGATTTAGACAAATAGACACAAGATACTGCATCAGGTTTGAGTTTTAGACCCTTTTTAGAAACTTTATTTAAAATTTCCTGTTGTAGATTTCTTTTGTGATCTTCAGTTTTAAAATATGTTTAGAACAAATTCTTGCAGTATTACAATTAAAATTATCCTGTCTACAATAAGATATTGTACACAGTTTTCTGGTCACACTATCTTTAGGAAATGAATGAAACCTAAAGATTGTATCTTCATTGTCACTATTGCAACAAGCAACTGCACAGCGCATATTGAAAAAGGTATAAAACCAAATATACAATCGCAAATAAAAACTTTTAGTTTTACAACAAAAATACTATACAGTATAAATAAACAGTAACTAAACACCACAAGTACACACACAGACACAGGCTCCTTACTGGTAATTTTTTACGCGCTCGTCTGGGATACGAGCGCCGGTTAAATTTTACCCATCAATTTTTTTAAGGCCTTGCGAAGTGGATATTTGTATAAAGATACATATCGCTCCTTAAATACAAAAGTCACACATTCCAAAAAATATCAAAACTGATTTTTTTGCATAAAATGCATCTTAACCGATGAAACTTTAATATTTCGCTTAACCAGCCGTCGTTTTATGATCAAAAGCACCCGTAAACCCACATACGTTAGTTTTGTTTTGTACCGTTTCTGTAACTGAGTTCCGTGCAAAACTACCATATCCTCAGTTGCCATCAGACATTCGGCATGAGTGCACGCATTTTTTATGAAAAACTAACACATTCCAAAAAACTGCTAAAAGACAGGTGAAATTATATATTCAAAAGTGCCACATTCAAAAATACATTCGTATTGCAGATCACATACACGTAAGTATATTCATCATTTTTATGTGCAATAATACAATATTTCAAAATAGGTTAGTTTTTCGTTTATAAATTTGATATTCTCTCTTATTTTTGTATGCAATAATACTACCATATTTTGAATTATGTTAGTTTTGCAAAAAAATAATTAGAATTATTCTGTTTTATCTGAAAGTTTTTGTAGTTTTTGGAATAATCTTATGGGTTAAAAAAAAAAATTAGAAATCTTAAAACCAATTAAATTTTACTTACCCATATAGATACATTATAACGCCTATTTACGAGAAAGTAAATTGTTTAATACAGGTAGGTACTTATAATTAATTTTTATTTTCAGAATGGCAAGAAGAGCGCAACGTATTTTGGACATGATACCACCAATAAATGACCCTCGAGATGAACAGCAATCTTCTTCAACAATACGACCTAGTGAACTGGATTCAATTGACATCCAGACTAACAATATTATTTATCATGAATATGATGCTAATGGCATTAGCTCTCTACCGGACAGTCAGTTCTCTTTAGATATTCTGAACTCCGTTGAAAATAATGAAGATATTCAAGCAACGTCTCCATATCACAGAATATTCAATAAACCATCTTTAGTCATTAAAGAAACAGACTCAGACAGTGATTCTTCCTCTGATGAATCTTCTAGCTCTTCGAGCAGTCCCAGTTCTAGTTCTTCAAGTAGCTCCAGTTCTACAAATAACCTAAAAGATTTCTCATCCGATGATAGTGTCAAAGATCCTACGTATGAAGATCTATTTTCTGAAAACCGCAAAGCCCAGTCAGATTCCGATGAAGAACAACAACCACAAGCACAGTTACCTGACATTCAAGACTTTCCGCAATCAGCCGTGGATAACCAGAAGTTACTTAATATTAATTCACCATCACCCGGAGTTGACGATCAGCCACCTAGCGTTGACGAGCACCCATCTAGCATCGGTGAGCAGTCTCCTAGTGTTGATGATGAATCGCGCAGTAGGTGTCATAAAAGAAAAGCAGAACCGCTTTTATGGAAACGAAACCAGAGCAAGCTATTGAAAAACAAAGGTATGTCCTATACTTCTATATCCAAGTCTAAGAAAGTTTATGATGCCAAAAAAATGGGTCCTGTATGTTTCGATAAATGTAAATTAAAATGTTTTACAGAGTTTACGTTTGAAGAAAGAAAACACATCTTTGAAAGGTTCTGGGAGTGCGATGATCTAGAAATCCAACGACAGTTTATTCACGATCACATGACCAAGGTAGAACCAAAATATAGATACGTTCGTGAAGGTAGCTTCTTCTTAAGGTGCCTTCTCCATTACTGAAGGTTGGCTATAACTACAGCAAATTGCTCTCTATCTTGAGCTGTTCTTAGTATCGCATGTGTGTCCATGCCTGTCCAGTCTCTTATGTTCTTCAACCAGGAGCATTTTCTTCTTCCTGGACCTCTTCTTCCTTCCACTTTCCCTTCCATTATAAGTCGTAGGAAGTTGTATTTTTCTCCTCTGTAGATATGTCCTAAATAACTCGTTTTTCGGTTTTTTACAATATTTAGGAGTTCTCTGTCAGTACCCATTCTTCTTAGCACCTCGTTGTTGGTCACGTGCTCTGTCCAAGAGATCTTCAGCATTCTTCGAAAAACCCACATCTCAAAGGCTTCTATACGCCTCATACTTGTAATTCCGAGAGTCCATGTTTCCACTCCGTATAGCAATATGGAATAAATAAACGTTTTTACAAATTGGTATCGGATGTCCAACGATAACGTAGAGTTTATTAGAAATTTTTTCATTCGCTGAAATGCGGACCTAGCATATTCTATACGAGCACGTATTTCGACCTCGTGGTCAAGATCGTTTGTTATCCAGCAACCAAGATACTGGAATCTTTGTACTGGTTCTATATGTTTGTTATAGATACGAATATTAATGTCGACATTTGGTGTACGTGTAACAGCCATCACTTTTGTTTTATTTGTGTTTATATTTAGTCCCAAGCTATCTCCCTCTCTGGTTATGACATTCAAAAGTCGTTGTAAACCCTCAGCACTGTCCGCAATAATGACGGTGTCGTCTGCGTATCTTAAGTTGTTTACGTATTCTCCGTTGATTTTTATTCCTTCTTCAATATTTTCGAGGGCATTTTGAAAGATCTTTTCGGAATATATATTAAATAACAGTGGAGAAAGTACACAGCCCTGACGAACTCCTCTTTTTATTGGCAATTCTGCTGTCAGACGATTGTCTATTTTGATAGATGCCATTTGATCCCAATATAGTTTTTTAATAAGTGCTACAGTGTTATGGTCTATACCATGTTGTGTTAGGGTTTCTATGAGTTCTGTGTGTTTAACTCGATCAAACGCTTTTTCGTAGTCGATAAAACAGAGAAAGACGTCTTTTCGCTGATCTCGGCATTTTTGTAGTAATACCTGGAGGCCAAATAATGCCTCCCTTGTACCAAGCCCCATACGAAATCCAAATTGATTGTCGCTAAGGTTTCTTTCGCATTCTCTGTATATTCGTTGATGTACAATTTTGAGTAAAATTTTCAGAAAATGGCTCATCAGGCTAATTAATCTGAACTGTGAGCATCTATTTGCTTTATTTTTCTTGGGTATAGGTATAAATGTCGATCCTATGTCGATAAAAGGTAGCAGTCGCAAAAATTACAATCACTCATTTTATCTGACTCTGAATAATAAAAAAACTCGGGTATGTAAAGTATTCTTTATGAATACCCTTGCAATCTCAGACACTATGATCAGAACCGTTGTCAAAAAACAGTCCGAAACTGGTGTGCACCTTAAAGATATCAGGGGAAAACATAACAACCATAAGACACTAGACTCAGAGAGCTGACCGATGGTGTCAAAGCACACATCAATTCAATACCCCGCATAGAAAGTCATTACTGTAGGTCGCGATCGACTCGGGAGTATATTGAGGGCAGATTTACAGTCGCGGCACTACATCGACATTACGTAGACAAATGTGAATCTGAAGGTAGACCACACGTTTCATATCAAGTATACTACAACATATTTATACATGATTTTAACTTATCTTTCTGGCAGCCCAAAAAGGACCAATGCGAAGATTGCATGGCTTACAAAAACGCTGAAGATAAATCGTTAATACAAGAAACTTACGACGAGCACCTGAAGCAAAAGACTCTCGCTAGAGCTGAAAATGATAGAGATAAAGAGCTTGTGAGTCATACCTTCGTAGTGGCTGTGTACGACCTCCAAGCGGTGATACCTTGTCCACGGAGTGATGTGTCGAGCTTTTATTATACGTCTAAATTAAATCTACTTAATTTCACAGCAACCGAGCTCGGTACAAAGGACACAACTTGTTTTGTATGGCACGAGGGAGAAGGAACCCGAGGTATTAATGAAATTGGCACCTGTGTTCTAATGTATCTTAGAAAATTGAATGACAATGTCAAGGAACCTTGTGATGTCACTTTCTATAGCGATAATTGCTGTGGCCAACAAAAGAATAAATTCATGCTGGCAATGTACCAATATGCAACTCAAGAATTGCCAAACATCAAGAGTATTACTCATAAGTTCCTAATAAAAGGGCACACCCAAAACGAAGGAGACTCTGTTCATTCTGGCATCCAACGTAACATTACGAGAGCATTGAAATCATCTCCAATTAAAGTTCCAGACCAGTATATCACTCTGATTAAAACAGCAAAGAAAACTGGAAAGCCTTATACTGTTGAAGAACTGACACATGAGAATTTTTTTGACCTCAAACCTCTGTGTACAGGAAACTACAATATAGATGATGATGGCAATAAATTCAAATGGACCGATATAAAGATTCTGAAGGCGGATAAAGTAAGCAATGGCATATTTTTCTTTAAAAGTTCCTACGAAGAGGAAGAGTTCAGGTCGGTATCTACGTTGAGAACACGCCTCACGAAGTCAACGGCAGTGCCTGATAATAATTTTACTCTAAACCAACTTTACACTGAAAAGCTTACAGTTCCTGAAGCAAAGAAGCAAGGCATACTAAAGCTAATCCAAAAAAACGTAGTGCCAAGATTTTATGAATCTTTTTATGATAATCTCTAAATTAGTGCACAAGTTACTGTTGTTAACTGATTTTTAATGTTTTCGTTAAGTTTTTTTTATCCTTTACGAGCATTATGCTCAATGTAGTTTTAAGAAAACGTTTTATAAAAATATTTTTGTAAGAACCACGTTTATGTGCTTCATACGGTTGTGATTAGTGTAGATCATGGAAATGATTATTTTGAAAGTGTCTTTCTCCTTAGTGCCTTATTTTATAAGACTATAACGACTAATAATACTATTTTAAGATAAAGTTACCTCTGTTTCTCTTAAAGGTTTTTGCTTAAAACGTTAAGTTTTGTTTTTAACGTAAATTTATTCCTCTTATCTACTACTATAGCTAATATTAAAGACTAAATTGATGATCTCTTGATAAAATTAACAATTATTTGTTTTCCCTTAGCAAGTTTAGTATGTAGTAAGTTAGTATGTGCCTTTTTTAATAAATTGACATTTTGTAAGGTTGACAACCGAAAATAAAACTCAAATTTTCCTAATTATGGTGGTTTAATTTTTAAAATTTTAATGTTCTCGACGTCAAAGTCTACATACAAAACTAACTTATTTGCATTTTTTCGACAGTCCATTCGAGCTATGGTTAAGATTGCTCTTTATTGATATAGGGCTATTTAATTACGCATCTTTTGATACCAAAAAAATCAACCTAACACACATAGTTTATACAAAAATCATAAAGTAATTCAAATTATTTTTGTAAATGCCTCTCCTGTACAATTTGCTTATTTTGACTTGTGGAGCGATATGTAAGCATATAGGTATCTAAATTATTATTCTATTATCAAGTAGATGACTCAGTCAGTATTAAGTTACTTTAAAATAAATTTATTATCTCATAAGTTGCAATTTACAATCGTGACCATTGATAAAGGATATTATTGTCGAACTTTTGTTTTTATACAAGCCTTCTGTCTTGTCGGTGTAAAAACGTCTGAAGTCGATATTTATTGTTTTGCGTTTGAATTAATTTGTGCCTTATTTTCATATTATTATATTGTTTGGTAAGTAAATTTTGCATATGATAATTTTACTAAATTTCATTACAACTCATCTAAAATACCATATTGAATTATACTTAAATCAGATTTTTCTTTATTGTAATCTATTTTGTTTTTATTTCAGTAAAACTGCTTGGAAATAACTGACAGTGAATCAGAATACGCAAATCTGCTACTATTTACCTATTCATAGTATTTCCTCTTCACAAAATTTTTAAATTTCAACGGATTTGCGTACAAAAAGAATGCTTTTATATTATTAGTATCTGTTTCAAAACAAAAATAAATATTTCGCCTGAATCCCCAGGAAAAGTAAAGGTCTTACGTAAATCGATCATTTTTTGACCATAATTTCAAAATTAATGTGTACGTTAAGATGTACTAATGGGTTCGAGGTTCGAGCGGTCTTGATACGTCACACTCCTGGGCCAGCTGTCAAATCATTATATGAATAAAATATGAACAATACATTAACTTCTACTACATAATTTCCTCACAGTCCTTTTCATTTAGGTCTAAAGCGTTCAGAAATTAGCTACTGACAGGCTACTAAATGGCAGATGAGAATATTCTCTTTATAATGCTTTAGCAATAATAGAAAATGACAATTCGTACTCGTTTCAGATAAAATGAATTCGTCATCTGGGGTTTCAAGAGTTGTACGCTTGAAGTTGGCAGACGAAAATAACACCGATGCGTTGGAAACGCATGTTCAAAATGACCTGGCTACTATTGAAAAGATCAAAATTCAAAGACTCAACTACGTTGGAGCTGAAAAAAACGAAACTGTTGTATTTATTGAAACTGCTGAATCTTTGTCTCTACCATATCTACAACATATGTATATACAATAGTATAAAAGAGAAATTAACGATAAATCAGAAACAAAATGCATCTTAAGAAAAATAAAAAATAATGTAGTATCTGAAATTTCTGCTCATGATAGTGCAGAATCTGTATTAAATGAAAGCGATGATGATTTAAAACTGAGTGGCATTCCATAGCCGTCACAGCTTTTCTTCATCTAAGTCAACTTTAAGTGATAAGTCGTCATCAGGTTCTTAACACAATTGCTGGCTAATTACATCTACTGGGAGATCGTATTCTAAACGTGGTAAGAAGAGACTACGTAAGATCCCAGCAAGAAAAAAGGACACAGCAAAGAATACCAATTCATTTCCAAGACGTCACAAATAAAGGGTGTTTTTTTTAGAGGTATAAAAATGTAATTTGCTAACAGTTTTTTACCTGTCGGTCATTTTGACAGTTGTCAAGTGATTTATGTTAAGTTGGGTTTGGCATTTAAGCATAAATAGACTTGACGCCTGAACAACGCTTCCAAATTGTACAAATTTATTTTGAAAATTGTGGTTCTGTTCAAAAAATATATCGCACACTACGTCCATTTTATGGTCAACATAATAGTCCATCGATCAAGTAATTCGATCCACTATGGAACGTTTTTGGCACCACGTTTACTTTAACTGATAATATGCATCCACAGACACGTCGTACAGTGCGTACAGAAAAACTTGTTGCTTCTGTAGAGCGTAGCATACAGGAAGACGCGAATCAGTCTATCTGTCATCGTGTACAGCAGTTCGGACACTGTTTCATTCACTTTATGGAAGATTTTGCGGAAAGATCTTGCCTGCGTGCTTACAAAACCAAACTCTTGGGTGAATTGAAGGTACATCATCACCTAGCAAGTCGTAGATTCAGTGAGTGGGTTCAAAACGAGATTGCCGTTAAATCCGATTTTGATAAGCGAATTTTGTTTTAATGATGCAGCTCATTTTTGGTTGAATGGCTACTTCAACAAACAAAACGGCCCTATTTGGAGTTAAGATAATCCTCAAATGTATGTTGAGAAACCATTACATTCAGAAAAACTGTCTGGTGTGCTTTATGGTCTGGTGGAAACATTGGATCGTACCTCCTTAAAAACGATGCTGGCCAGAAATTTACAGTCAATCGTGACTGTAAATCGCTTTAAAGCCATGATTATTGGCTTTTTCATTCCCCAATTGAACAATCATGATGTGCAGAGGCTGTTATTTCAATAAGACGGCGGAACATGTCACACAGCTTGTGCCATAATTGATTTATTGAAGGAAACTTTTGGTAACCACATAGTTTCGCGTTGCAGACCGTGAATTGGCCTCCAAGATCGTGCGATTTAACACTGCTAGACTATTTTATGTAGAAATATGTGAACGGGCTAATCTACTAGTCTACACCGATAAGCATGAAACAATTGACCTCTTGGATGATAACATTTGCCGCGTTTTTGCCGATATACATCGACAAATATTGGAAAAAGTGATCGAAAATTGGACCTCCAGATTAGACTACATCAGAGCCAGCCATGAGGGTCATATGCCAGAAATCATACATTATACTTAATGCCAAAAGATTATCTTTTGAATAATTTTATGTCAATTTATAAAAATCATCTTTGTTTTATTCCATTTTAAAGTTCTATACCACTAAAAAACACTGTAACGGTCTTTTATTGCTGATAATATTGAAAATATTCAGCCCAAATATCGGTACATGCGTATAGAAAATCATAGAAAAATTAATAATGCGTTCTACTTCCATATAGAGGAAAAAAGTGAGAGTGCAAACTATTTATCAATGGTACGTTGGGAATTAGCGACAGATCAATAAGAACAGTTTTGGCAAACAAGGAAGTGAATTTCTTGAGCCAGAGAAGAGAGGAAAACACACACATTTCACAATAAAACCTGGTGAAGTGAAGTCGTTTTACCCTGTCTTATTTCGGATTAACGCTCGAAAAATAATTTATGACTCTAGTTACAGCCACTCTGTTATGCTTTCCCTTTTCTACCTGCTTTGTGGTACCAAACCTCCTACTGGTCGGCTGTAGTACTTGAGGATAAATTTGCTGAGAGAATGAGAACCGCTGACTAACTGAGACAAATCTGAACAGACACTTTTATTACTTATGCGACAGGCTAAAACGATCCTACTTTATCAAAGAATCAGTGCGGAACCAAATCAACTCGACCAGAAGTATGAAAAGCTATTACCTTCGTACCAATACTTGTAGAGATTTCATAAATGGTGGTAAAAGTTTAACTGATTTACATAGAGACTATGTAAAAGAACAGACTGAAAAAACTAAACGGCCACAAATCTTATGACGTGAATACTCGCGCATTTTTGTTAATAACTTTAATATTTCATTTCTTTCTCCAAAAAAGGATTTGTTTGTACGAATCTTATAAAAATACACCAGAAGTACTAGACATAAAGAAAAAAAGTTGTGTCGTGAATCTAATGAAGAAAATAAGAAATGTAACCTTTAAGCGGCAATACCGTGCCCTAAACAAAATTTGTCAATATTTTAATATAAGTCCAAAATAAACTCTTATAATTTAACCATTTAAGAAGTTGGTAGTGATGATGTGTCAGCGCTCTCTGACAAGTTGCGGGCGAAATAAGAATAGTTATATTATTTCAATGTTCTTGTACGCAATAAAAACACTGGAAATAAAAGCTATTACACACAAATTCTTGATCTACGACCATACTCAAAATGAAGGTGATGCCGCCTACTCTATAACTGTGAAGGAAATAAAAAATCACTAGAAAGTGGTCCAATTATCATTTCGCAGCAGTATGTTACAATAATACGAACAGACAGTCAGCCAAGAAACCTGGCAATCCTTATCAGGTGAACAAACTCATTCAGATTCCTTTGACTTAAAAGATAACAGCAGTATGACAGGTAACAACTACGCTAAAGATGTGACTGACTATTAGAACTATTTTGTAGAATCTCTTTGTAAACCATTTTCCATCCACTCCTGAATGTAGGTCTCTCCCAATTGTTTCCATCATTCTCTATCTTGCGCCAATCTAATCCACTGTTTGCCTGCCACTGCTCTTATGTCATCTACCCATTCTCCATTCTAGAATTCTCCATTCTAGAATTCTCCGTGTCCACATGTTGTCATTATATCGGGCTACGTGACCTGACTTTTGTAGAATGGAGATGGTTTAGTGTAGTACGAGTAAACAGATCAGATTGACACCAGAATCCACACGAATAGTTTACAATGTATTTAAATATATGCAAATACTATTTCATCAAGATAATCGAACCAGTAATAAACAACGTGTGAGTGAAGCTACTAGAGTATCTTTACTTACAGTAGAAATAATCATTCAACAAGCGAGCATGTTAACAAACGCAGAGTCAAATAATACACTAAAATTTCCAGCTTGCTAAAAGGAAAGCAACCGTGACAGACTTGAGGGAGTATACCAAACAGTTCATCAGAAATACCATACCATCGTCTACGAGTAGACTGGAAGTGTTAGTTCTCTCTACAGAATTGTGAAAGATTTGGGATTTAAATGGAAGAAAACGAAAGATAGAAATTACATTGTTTTTGTAAATAGAAATTCATTTTAATTAAGTACTGTATTCAATACTCTCATAAATCAAAAGAAATCGAGTAACAACGCAAGAAAAACGGCAAAGTCAAAAAGGGGGTAATTTTTGGGGATTTGCCTACATTGTTCTGACTGAAGTCTACATTGTTCCTTTAAATCTAAAGGACAGCAAAAAAGCAAGTATACTTATGTGTCCTAAAAATCAGTTTTAACTTAAAATTACAATCTGTATCTAATTAAAAATTTAAACCAGAGACCAGAGATGTAGTACGTCGTCCAGCTTCTTCAAAATAGATTATCAGGACAATTTGTGTATTGAAAGAAGTTCCAGGCCAAAAAAGTTTAACAAGAAAAAGGTGCAGTCCTTGCTACAACCAAATGATCAGACCACTTCTCACAACAGTGCCTGTGCCAGAAAACATGCAAAGAAAATCAATACAATTTGTGAATCTTGTAATGTGCCCATTTGCTTACCTTGTTTTGATAAACATATTAAAATATATTGTTTTTAGAAGTAATATACAAAAAATTGCATGTTTTTTTCCTTAGAATATAACCATTTAGGTTGATAAATAAAGTGTGAAAAATTTCTTTTTATTTTCTTTTATTATTTAGATTGCACATATTTGTTTTTAATATCCTTTTATTTGTTAATATGAATAATTAATACATAAATTGTATCAACTTTGCATTAAAATATGTTTTATATTACAGTTAGAAAAAAAAGTTTTGAAACAAGGCGGTTAAAAACAGTCTAATAAATTTGACTCATTGAAAAGTTTTAAATGTGATATAAATTTGAAAATTTAGAACATTATGTTTTTTTATGGGATTAAACCAGAAGTTACAAGCCACAGTTAATTAAAAATGTGATTTTCTTCACAATAACAACCAATAATTATGGTTTTAATCCCATAAAAAACATAATATTTAACTTAACCATGCCACAAAAAAATAGTTTCAGAACTTTGCCAATGCGAGAACATTGGTATGTACAAAGCCGATTGATTTTTGAAGTTTTTGAAATTGGTGGTAATTATAAGATTGGTAGGTATTGTTTAAAAATTTTGCAAGAAATATAAATAAACATGATATGACTTTGGATGATGTTATATGTACCTAATAAATGTATTTTTGTAATTAATGTAGTAAACAATATGTAATTAATTGGTGTTCTTTATTAAATATTAATAGCTAATTATGATTAAAATCAAAAATAACCAAAACATTGTTTCATAACATTAAAAATGTTTGTTTTTTAAACAAAATGTATTTAATATTAATTACTAGTAATCCTAAGTTATATCAAAACTTCTACAATTAATAATAAATATTTGAAAAGTCAACAGGACATGTTAATTAATCCATATATTTTGACAGATAAAAATTTTTAAATGATTATTAGATACCGTAAAACGGGGTTACT